GGCGGGGGTTCTCTCGGCCACGTGGCCTTCCAAAGAAGGGAGGGGGAGTCCTTCCGTGACCATCCTCAGATGGACCCGGCATGCGCCTCCCACCCTGGCTGCTGCGATTTCATGTGGGGCTTTTGCGCAGATTTGCACAGGGGCAAACCTCCCCTCTAAACAAGGAAGGGGATGGGTGTATGTGGGGGGGAACGAAGAACAGTCAGACCTTCTTTCTTCTTCCCAGGGCTGGGAGGGGGGGGGAGCCGCTTGTCAGTGTGCAGAAGCCTCCCTCCCCTTGCCAGCCAGGAGGGGCTCTGAGCTGTTGTACCTCCGAAGCACTTGTGGGAGGGAGGTCCCCCCTGCTCAGTCGTGCCTGTGCCTTGTCCCCTTCATCCTGGCGTTGGGTCAAGTGGGAGGCCCGCTGCCCTGCGCTCCTCTTCCCTTGAGTCGGGGGCACTTCCGTTGTGTTGCACTGATCCACGAGTGCCTGAAGAGGGGCGGGGGCAGTGTGGGGAGGAGGGAGCCCCAGGCCCTGAGTGTGGGCCCCCACATCTCAGGCGGGCACCTGAACCGCCGCGCCCCCCCCCAGCAGCTGAGTTTCCTTCCTTCCAAAGGCGAGCGTTTTTGATCCTTGCCTCAACCGCCTGTGTCACCTCACCCCACTGCCGGCTGCGTGAGGCTGAGGGCTCTAGCTCAGGTTGCACCAGGCCCCGGTGGCTTCGTGGTCCTAAACCAAATACAGCCCTCTTTGGCAGGAAGTGGTCCCCCCACCACCACCACCACCTGTGCTTGGGAAGATCTCCTTTTCTGTAGAGGCTCGTGGGCAGTTCAGGGATCTCTGCTGTGTTCAGCGCTGACGGGTGGGATGTTTCCACTCTTCGCTGCCCTTTGCCAGCTCAGGGAGATTGCCAGGTTCCGGGCCAGGGCGTGTCTGGGGTGAAAAATCCGTGCCCCTCTCTTCTTTGCCCTCTTCTGAACGCCCTCCCCTTCCTCCCGGCACTGTCCAGCGGTGCTGGGCTACGCTGTGGTCCCTCGAGGCGAAGTGGCCCCTTCGGTTTGAATGTGCAATTTAGAGGGGGAGCGGAACGCCTTTGAAATGGCTGGCGGGGGTTCAGCTCCATCTGGAGACACATTTCTCTCTGTTTTTGGGCTACGACAGCCCCCCCCCCCGTGCCCCCTCCTCGTCTGTCATGCCTTACAATGCAGCCCTTGAACAGAAATGCCTTAACTGCAACTGAGGAGGGGAGGGGAGGGGGGGGTCTCCTGCCACCACGCGGGCCTCCGGAAGCAGCTTCCGTCTGGATCCTCTTTCCGATCCCCCATGGCTCTCCCCCCTTGCTGCCTTAAACACATTAAATTATACATATATATATTTTCTATATATATATCTACCTATATATATATCTATATATATATATATTTGAAGAGAAGATTATGGGATACTGTAAAGATTTTGTTTTTAAGCATGTACAGAATTTTAAATATGTTGGTTTCTATTTATCTTGCGTTCCTTCTCTCGGGATGGAATTCTTCTAAAGGGCTCTAGTTTTTCTTTCAGTTTTTTGGCTGTAAACTCACTTTGTGTGTGCGTGCGTGTCAGCTTCTGTTGTGGTCTTCTAAAGAAATGTTCCTCTCTCTGTTTTGCTTTACTTTTGTACATTGTGAAATGTGAAGAAAGACCTCCCCCCCACACACACACACCGCCTGAAGTCTCTGTGTTTGCTTCCCCCTTTGGCTTCTGTCAGCCGCGCCCCCCCCCGTCGCACCCCCTCACCCTTTTGTTCCTTGCAGCGTGAGCCTCTCTGCAGCGAACGATGTAAATCGGCTTGCGAGAGGGAAAGGGGGCTACTCCGACTGCCCCCTTTATACCCAAGAGGACACAGTGTGCACCCTGGACACACACCTGTCAGGGAAGGCAGCCGAAGTCTCTGGGCCTTCTCCTGGCCCCACCTGCCTCTGCGGGGCGTGTCGGCTCAGAAGCCAGGCCCTGCTCCTGTGTTCAGGGGAGCTTACTCTCGGTGGCTGCTGGGAGTCGGCACTCCTGAACACACTCTGGGGACTTCCTCTTGAGCCAGCGTGCGAGGGCAGTCTCTGCCAGGGCCCAGGAGCAGACCCCGCCTCTCTTCCTGCACCGGGTGGTGGGTGACTCGGAGCCACTCTGTTTCCCGCGAGCGCCAGGGGCCACTCAAGGAAGGCCATGCTGCTGCCTTCCTCGCAGGATTGCTCTCAAGGTGGCAGACAAAACACCATCCTGGCAGAACCAGCCCTGAAGTCCATGTTCCCCATTCAGGGAATCCGTGCAGCCTCCAACCCGCTTCCCTGGGGCCGGAGAAGGGCTGATGCCACGGGCATCGTGGCAAGGGGGCAGAAGGGACTACGGTGGGGTGTCTAGGGGGGAGGGAAGGCAGAGCTGGGGGGCCAGCAGTGGAGGGTGGGGCCCCGGTGGCTCTGTTGCAGCCCCCTGTGGAGAAGGAGGGGACTGAGTCACGGAAGGCAGTGCAGAGGAGGAGGGAGGAGGCCTGCGAGAACCGAAGGGGGGAGGCTGGAGGAGTCCTCCATTCCCGGGGGGCTGCCTGTGCCCGGGCCCTCGCCTCCAGGAGGCCTCTGCTCCCCTGACTCGTGCCCCCCCCGCCCTCCTTCCCCCCCACCAGGAGTTGCTCTGCTCTGCACCGCATGCCTTGGAGGAAGAGGGCCTGCTCCTCCGCTTGGCTGCAGCCGTCCAGGCTCTGCTGGAGACGGCCGGCACCCCCCCAGCTGAACCCGGGAAGAGATCAACCTAATCCGTGGCCTCGGAGCAGGAACCGGCTGCTTGGCGCCATGGACCTCTGAACGCTCTTTGCTCCCGGAGGGACCCATTCAAAAAGGCGGGTGGGGCGGGCTGACCTCTGGCGGG